TCCCCCGCGCGCGCGACGACGACGACGACGACGACGACGACGACGACGACGACGGCGGCGGCGGCGGCGGCGGCGGCGGCGGCGACCGACCGGCCCAGAAAGTCGGTGCCAGGAACTCGCCGGGGGGCAAGGGGAAGTCGCCCGACACCTCCCCGAGTACGCCCAAGTAGGATTTAATCAGTTTACCACCCTGTAGCTCGAGGTCACTCGAGGACTACTTCAAATTCAAGCCCAGCGGCCTTTACCCCGACTCCGACGAAGAGTAGGCAGCTCAGGCCACGAGAGTGTCGCCCCATGTAAGCGGGGCCCCACGCACGTGGTGCGCTACCACGCTCCTTCTCTAAGAAAAAACAACAAAAATTTGAAGGTGAGGTCCGTCTTGGTATTAATTATGGGAAGACGCGTCGATATGATGGGACATTAAATTCCAGGTAATGATGGTCAAAAATGGTGGACGGTGAGGTCCCTTTTGATATTTTGTTTTGAAGTGAGGTCCATTTCGACATTATTTTGGAAGGCGGGGTCCATATTGATATTAAAGTCTCTTGGTGAGGTCCTTCTTGATTTTGATCCATTAATTAATTAAGACGGACCCGCAGGTAAATCAAAGAGATATGATTTTGAAAGAGTGAAGCGCAATCAAGAGAAACCCACAAGAGCAGGATGTTAGATAAGTTACACAGTCATGTGGTTTGTCTTGGCGACGCGGACCGCAGCTCGAGGATTCGGAGCTTGAATTTTTTGTCGAGGGAACTATTTAAGGCGGCAGTTCCCATGGACACAAGTTCTCGGTTCATAGCAGAACATCTGATAGATGCATTAGTCGAGCGACTCGTGAGCGACCCAGTAGAGAAGTGTCGAGAACTTGCGATGTCTATCATAGAGTCATCTGCACGTGAAGTTCGTCTCGAGGATCTCGCGACGCTAGGGAAACGGGTCATCCCAGCAGCATGTCCAAGACTGGGTAGAAGACTCTCGAGGGAGCCCGTAGAAGAATTGAGACTACGGTGCGTCACTTTTTATTCTAAGCCTTACTACGTCAGTAGGTTGATCGAGTTGTGTAGTACGATTTTCGTCCGCTGCGCTGTGGAACTAGAACTAGAATGCGGGGATCTAGCGGAATATTTTGTGCCTTCGCTCATCGAATCTCTAGCAGATACTTATCCGGAAGCCAAGCGAGCTGCTATTATCGCGGTGAGCAATGTTTCTCGTGTTGCACCGGATGGCGTGCACGTCTTTCTCACCGACTTAGCCCAGGGCCTTGTTGCAAACCTCACACATCAGCATGTAATTTGGTTCCTCGCGCTATGTCATGTCAGAAAAAGCACAGGCGAAGACGCGAACTGCCGTGCTTGTCTCTCTTGCGAACGTCTGGCACTGTGAAGTCGTTTGAAAAGTACTTCCAAGCCCCCGAGGATCATCGCCTAGGTAATGCGTGCTTCATCCATTTCCGATTTATTCCCTCAAGTGCTGCACAAGGTGGAGTTTCCGCCTTGCCAATGTCGCCCAACGACCATGCTGTAGGTCGTACTGCCAGCCTTGAACAATGCATCTCTAGATCGGTCCGCCTCAGTATGAACCTGTATCGTTACAGTCCACTCTCTATCTAGCGGAGCAGCTTATCGCAGGTGCGCACTCAGCTCGCTCAGTCGCTCGGCTCGTTGCTGGTCTACAATTATGGAGCAAGTCGGGGAGGTAGTTTAGCAGCAGTCACGAGCGTCAAATCACTTGTTGTGAATCGGCGCATTCACACTGAAACAGGGTTATCTTCTTATGTTTTCTTCCCATAGCTTGCATTTGATGTCGAGATTCTAGCTGCACTTATTGCTATAGTCGCAGATGAGACAAAACAAGTCTCAGCGAGAGCTGTCGCGGAGCTCAATGTCCACCACGCCATAGCCGCGCCCATCTGTCCCTGCGCAGTCCATTTGGCCTTGGCATACAGGCAGCAGCTTTACGTTGGCACTTGTCTCCTTCTAAGGCAGCATCGAACTCAAGTCCGGAGTATTTAGGAGCCTGCCAAAAACTTTCGTCAAAGTTTATCAATTCTCTCGGCTCGTCTGGTATCGTTTCCGCTCATTTGGTGTCGTCTGTGGCAGCGCAACTTGTTGGATCGCATTTTTCGGAGCTTCTCAATATAAAGCTAATGCGCATGAATCACTGGATGCCTGCCACTCGTAGGGACATAGTCCCCATTGCTTGCCACAGGTATACCTCTTGATTATCTTGCCACAGGCGCAAGCGGGGCTCGTGCTCTTGCAGTGCTTACTATTGTCGCAAAGCATGCCGCATATTGCCGTGTTTGTACGTTGGTCAACATGAGTCATTTCCTTTCCAGGTCAATAATTCGCCCTCTGAGTTACGTGGTCTAATACCCGAATTTAGCGAATATCGGTGACAGTAATAGGGCACCTTGCTTAACAAGCAGATGTAATGCCTTCAGGCAAATTGCTTACTGCCGACAATATGGCTGTTCAAAACGATGGGCGTATCGCACTTTATGCTCTATTTGCCACTTTATCTGATTGTGCTCCAGTTTTAGAGGGGCTCACGACGTTCATGACTGGTAATCCTTGATGTTTTTGCCTCTCTGAACTTCGCTGCCGTAGGTTCCAAAGCTACTATTTCACGCACAAGTGCCATAGATATCATCTCAATTTTACTCAGTAAGGAATTGGTCCCAAGCGCAACAAGGCCGACTCTTCTAGGTGCCACGAGACCGGAGTGTGTAGCTTCACATGTTGGAAAAATCGTCCACATGCTCTCTGTTCACGCAGAAAGGAACTCAGAAGAGCGCCATGTTGCCAAGTTCAACGTGTCATTGAGCTATATTGATGCTCCTGATATGTCTCTCTGGCGCGCAATAGGCTCACTTCTCAGCTAGCTTCAGAGCGGTGTTCTTATGTTGACAAATCCAACGGAAGATTGCAGGTCTGGAACCAGAGCTTGGCGAAAATGCTTTAGTAGCTCTAGTTCGTACTCTTTTGCTTTCACCGACATTCTCCACCCTTCTAGCCAATCCCAAGCCCAGTGCAGCTGATACTCTAGCGGTCCATGCCATCTTTTTCCTCGTAGAGCAGACAAACTCCGTATCTTTATCTACTCTCGCAGAAACTCACTTGGATGCTTTAATCGCATACTTGCCTGAGGTACCGCCATGTTATGAAGCTGGATCCGCCGCTTGGGTTCTCGTCGATGCACTTGTAAGATTATGTCCGAATGCTGTCACGTCCGCGCTTAGTTCTACGGTGGGACAAGTTCTTCTGACACATGCAAAACCTACGTCAAACTCAACACCGGAGGCAAACATTAGTGCTCTGTGGTGAGTTGCTCTAGTTTTGTATGGAATGATAATCCGTGACATAGTCTATTGCATGCACTAGTTCTCGCTGATGCACGCAGCCTACTTTCTAGAGATAATGTGTCTATCATCCTTGATCGTCACATTGTTGTCCCACGAGGAGGCACCAAACTCAGTGAATGCCCTCAATTAGGTGTTATTGTGCCCAATGTAGTCTGGTCTGCCGGCCACATGGCAGCTACTGCACGCGAGGTTCGGCGCCTAAAGGAAACACAACACGAGATACACTGAAACTTTACAAAGGGAAAAGTGCCCTGGCTCTACTACACGCGCTCCTGCAAGCTGAGGTAGCATCCGCAGGGATGAAGCAGGGGACATGGTTGGTGCATTCTGCGTCGAAGCTGTTCCCCGTGCTACGAAGCAGCCTGGAGGAGTTCGATACTTCATCTCGTGAGATTTCATTAAGGTACACGAACACGCTACATTTTCCTGTATCTTTGGTTCGCAGTTGCCTTGCGTCATTGTTCAAACTTCTGCCACATGCGTGCCTCGAGCATACAGAGATTGATCTACTATATCCAGCACTCATCAAACGTCTTGACGATTCTATTGATCGTGTTCGAGTAGAGGCATGCGCGACCCTGACTGAGTGCGTAACCAGATATTAAAGCGGCCAGGCTTAAGCGCAATGCTTCTTCGCAGGTTTTTTAGAGTTGCCATGCCTCAAATCCTTGGAGTCGCCCTTGAGTATTGTGCCGAGCATCTGCTCATTCATCTGGATGACCCATCATTGGAGATTCAATCCTCAGTTTTTGGCACTGTCTCTGCTCTAGCCTGCCTTGATGAGTCAGCTGCGTCGGTCATCGCTAACAAGATCAGGGGCGTTCAAGCATCTCACCGTGACCCGGCATTGTGTGACAAACTCATACAGGGTATGAGCGCGAGGCGGTGATGCTGACCTGGCCAGCATATCAAAGCGAGGTGACTCTGGGTTCATACGTTACATTTAATGAATAATTATAGGGAGCGGGGTAGGTTGAGCCGAAGCGCAAGACTTTCTCGAAAAAGGGTTCCTGTGGGTTCAAAGCCAACTTTTTGACCAAGGACAATACGATTCAAGGACGAGTTTTGGACGAGCCTTTGTCCGAATGGCTTTGCGATTTTTGTTGCAAAGATATGATTGAACGAGTGGCTCTGGCGCGTCGCCCCATGTCCGAAAATGCATCAAAAGTGCTGCAACAAAAGTCGAGTGGCCAGGAAACATTGGTCGAAAGCCTCTCGGACAATAAGATCTGCCTTGAATGGTGTTGCCCCTCGGTCCACTTGAGCTGCTCTGTCAAAGTGAGTCACTGGAAGGGGTGGGGTCGCCTAGGTTAGTAAGGGCATGACAACGAAGAAGAGAACGACGGCGCCAGACTTAACCTCCAACACCCCAGTCCGCGGACAGGCTGTTCTTGTTACTACTAGGACCGGTGACCAGATGTGTCGCTAGTAACCCAGGTGGGGTCCAAACTAGAAAGCGCCGTATTTCCCCGGGCTGGAGGTGCTGGGGGCTCTACTCAGGCGCCGGGGCCCCGGGCGGGCCCCGAACGAGAACGCGTCGAATTTCCCGCGTTCGAGCTGGGGTATTGGCCGCCCCTCTCTACTAGACCCCCCCTGCGGACCCTGTCCTAGTTTGAGCTCCGCCCACTTGTTGCTCCTAGTTTCTGACGTCGATTATGGTCACTGCGTTCGTCGACGTGGCGGCAAGTCGAGTCCCGTTTGCGTTCCACGCAACTTCAAATATATCAGCCGATCCTTGGTTGAAAGTGCGAACCAGAATACCAGTTTTGACTGACCAGATGTTCAGTTGACCTCCAAGTGATCCAGATGCAAGGAGATCACCGTTTGGCGAGAACGCAATGGTATAAACCTTCTTAGTATGATTTCGCAATGTATGCGAGCAAACTCCGATTTCGGTATCCCAGAGACGCACCGTGGCATCAAACGAAGCAGAAGCAAGTCTACACGGTGCCTATGCGAGATTTTCAATCAAATATACACAAAGACGCATAATATTCAACACAAGCACCCTTCGGGGTATCGTTTAAAACGTTTGGCAGTGCAGTTGTAGGACCTGTCGGTGACCATCGTATAGTATAAATCTCCTCGGTATGATTGCTGAACCGATAGACCGGGCTGGACCTGTTTGTTTGTAAGTAAAGATCGCGACCGCTTCATTGGCGCTGGCAGCTATGACTGGCCAAGCTGCCAAATGAGCACATTGTGGTCATCAGAGCATGAAGCAAGTAATGATCCTGAGGGATCCCATCGTATCGCATTGACCTCATCGGCGTGGCCAACAAGGACTTGCAAGGGAGTTGTCGTCGTCGCAGGAGAACCGGCTACAGCATTGTCATCTGCAAGGGCACATACAGCAATTGTGCGATCCGTGGAGCATGACGCAAAGACGTCACGGCCGTGGTATCCTCCTATGCAGGGAGATCCGTCACCTTCAAACGGTATAGTATCAAGAACCATGTTTCCAGTCTACATCCAAGACTTGAGCTGAGTGAGCCTCGAACTTGTGCTGAAGCTTGCCTAGATGAAGGCAAATTCTGCGGCAACATTGACCCAAATTGGAATACATTAACCCACACATAATCTCACCAGTGGCAACATCCCATACCGATACGCACTTGTCATATGACCCGGTGAGAAGCCGCTTACCCACAGCATCAAACCTTAGCGAAAATATGGACTCAGAATGAGCGGCGAGAGAATGCTGCAGGATCCCATCACGTGACCATAAGCGTGCGATGCCATCCATGCAGCCCGTTGCAAGTAAATTCCCGTCAGTAGACCATTCTAATGTTGTCACCTACCGACACAGAGTCTGAAACAAGCGACAACCAATAGAACAAAGTAGAGCGCATCATGATCTTCCTCAAGTGCTGCCGATGTCAGGCTTGGTTCAGCTGGTGCGACATACTCGAGCACCTTTGCTTGAGGGGGCAGTGCATTAAGACAAGCAGCCGTTTTCCCCCCTGGGAAATCCCATAGGCGGACAGTTGAATCGCCCGAACCAGATGCAAGGAGTTCATCATGTGGATGCCATGAGCAACAGAATACCTCAGCTTCATGACCGGCAAGAATCACGACATCGTTTGATGATATCATGCGCGAGGGAAGTACTGATGTATTGGTCTGAGGTTCGTCTATAGACAACTCACTACTCTCAAGCACTTGGCTCTCATTTGGGATGAGTGTTTCTCCTTTGAGTTCTGAACCTAATACGCGATACATGCTAAACAAGGGGATGGACACTTGTGTCAACTGATTACGCGGCTGACACGCAGGGGTGCCATCTTTGGGCCGGTTCGGATAGGATATGAGACTCGAGCGTTGCAGGCCCACTTTCCACGGCAACATTCGATTTGTTAATAGATGACGCGCCAGAACGCTTGCGCTTTTGCTCTGGCTTGTCTTCTCCTTCCTCCGCCCCCTCTTCCTCGTCCCGATTCTTGTCGTACTTGACGCACCATTTAGAATACCTCACCGATTGATTTCTCGATATCGTTCGTAAAACATTTGCATCAAGCATGCTCACACTATCAGCGACTTTTACATTGGATTGATCACTAGCCTCCTCTGCAAAGCTCGCAAGATTCAATTCGTCCATTTGTTGTTCAACCTATCACAAATCTAGAGCTACAGATTAGGGGGAGCATTACCTCGAGGTACATGAGACCCTTTTGAATGAATGAAATGAGTGCACCCGGCGGGACATGGCTAGCGTGCATCGTTGCGATGGTGGATTTGGTAACAAGAGATTCGTACGCAAATGTGAATGCGGAATGTAAATGTCCAGATTCCTGGAGGTACCGGTATACAAGGAAGTTGACCTCTTCAGCAGACACAGCCATGTCACTATGTATTCACCAAGAGGTAGGCGGTAGACTACCCTCAGACAAGCATGTAGTACTAACTAACTACCCCTACCAATGGGATCAGCCGATTGGATTCTTGGAAAATATATCACTCGCTCTCTACATGGCCTAGGCCTAGGCCGGTAGCTAGAGCTGCAAGCTAGAGCAGGCCACTGGGGTAGTTAGCGAGAGATGCCCGCAACTAGGGTAACATCGGGCGTTGAAGTCCACCGTGGCACCAGGGGGCTGTGCAGAGTTGTCTCCATAGGGTGACGTCGCGATAAAGGTAGAGCAGGGTAACGTAGATTGTGGGAATGATGGTAATTAAGACCCAGGCTGGCACTGTGCCATCCAAGCGCGGTCCGTAGGCCTTCATTTCTGGCATTCCTTAATCCGGCTGAGCTCAGCCCCCCTTTGCGGGGGGAGTTTATCTTGCGGGGAGTTTATCTTGCGAGTTCTTCTGACTCCTCGTGAAGCCCTGCGGCCCACACACTGCCTTGCGGCGGCTTCTGGCGGCCACAGATTACAGCAACATGGGATCGGGTGGGGCGCATTTCAGCCACTTCTTTGCTCTAGGATCGTTGGAAGGACCAAAAGTGCTTCCACAGAAGTGATTCCATGGCGGCCACGGAAGTGATTCCAACGGATTTGCACGCGTTTTTTATCCACTCGAATTTGGTTGATCCGTTTTACGACGCCCACAGTAGGTTGACCGGGACCAAGTATACAGGGTTTATCGACTTGCTTCATTGCTGACAGTTGGTAGTAAACCTCCAATGGAATCCTCTTGCTGTACATCTGCCCTCTCTGTCACTCATTATGAGATTTGGCACTGATTCTTGGCCTTCTCTCTCTTGTCATTCAGCTTACGACTTTTAGGGTCCTGCCTCTCTACTATTTCTATCTCGCCGACCTTGCGCTTTGATTGCGAGAGTGCTTGTGGCGCCCGAGTTGGGTGCACATTGGTTTGTGTGCCTTCTAGCCAACCACCACTGTTGGGCTCCTGCGGCGTGTTCCGTTGTCGAAGTTGTTGAAGACGGAGAACGTTACGTTTACGATCGTCAACAATGGCTTCGGGGCAATTCTGGATTCCAATGTAGTATCTAATTATGCCATTTGCGTGCAATGGTGTCAAGAGGAAGCAGTTGAGGAAGGTTCCCCCGTCTTTTTTGTAGTTCAGCAGCGAAACTTTGACAGTAGATTGAGTTGCAAGCGCACGCCTGATCAAATCGACCTGACCTGTGGATGTTCCTGGGCCTTGCAGAAATCGACAATTTCGACCAAGGACATCCCCGGGTGCGTAACCAGTCTCCATAACGAATGCGGGACTCACCGCGATGATTGCTGCATCAGGATCGGCACAGTCGCTAACAAGAAAGCTGCAATTCCTTGCGCCTACAACCCAGCAAGATCTAGGATAAGTGGCCAGGGTTCCCCGAGGAGGGAGACAAAATGCTGATGATCTATGACGGAAGCATAGGCCAGTAGAAAGTCAAGGGACCCAGTCAAGTGCAGAGCTGTGCAATAACTCGAACATCTGTCGCATCCATGTCTCGCATAAAATCAGTAATAGTCATACCATCTGCCGTGACAAGGCGTAGGTTAGAGATAATGCGATCTGATAGGGACTGAATGAGACGTGTCTCAGTACGCGTCGACATGGATAGTGGCGATGCATGATCGCAACAGGCAATAGCATCCAACTCGACATCTTTGATCGCATCCGATGGCCCTGACAACCCGCTGTCCTGCGAGTCACACGCAGCCCAAGAAACCACTGTGTCAACAATCGTGCGCCAATTGGGCTGTTGTGCTGGCACAACATAATCAAGAGGCGTATACCCGTGCTTGTCTTCGCTCAGCATGAGTTCAAGAAGGCCCGTACCTACCATATAGTATGATGCTTATCCTTGTGGAGTAGCGCCGGAGGCTCGCGGCCTGTGCACTCATGAATCATATCAACCATCTTTTCCATCGCTTTCAAGACATCTGGTGGTGGTGGCTTGGCAGACCAAAAGACATCATGGAGAACATTCTTCCCGCTATCGCAACACACCATAGGGTTTGCACCTGATTTGAGCAGGAGACCAACGACAGCGAGCGGGCTGTGACGATTCGTCGAAAGTGCGCGACGGCAGACCTTCATGAGCACAGTCTCCCCATTGACGTTCTGGGCATTTGCAAGATTGGGAATCGATCTCCCCTCTGGCGCGACACGGCTTCGTATATCCTCTAGAGAACCCTCATACATCAGGCTCAGTAACGCCTTGTCGTACATTTGCGGTAGCTCGTCAGTTGTGAGGTACTTGAGCGCGACGCACATTATCTTCGATCGCGGATCATTGAACGCTACCGGATTGATCTTGATGCCGTGTCCCAGCAACGCTTTCAGAAAATAGTCCTTCGGCCTACGGCAAATTCCAAATGTAACAAAATAACGTTGATATTATAATACGCCCTGCAAGTACGAGTCATCCTGCATCTAGTGTACTGCTCACGACTTGATGTCGTTGGATTGAGGCAAGTGAGACCACCAGAGGCCGCGAGCAGAAGTATACGCGGTCTGAGCTCCCTCGCCGGGCAATAAGTGGATGCACACAATTGGATGCGCAGCTTTTGTGGCCTAGCAAGCAGGCTCCTAGCAAGCAGGCTCCTAGATTGTGGCCTAGCACTGGCAACTTTCCATCGATGACATGTTTTCCCCCTAATGACCACCAAATGTAAAGAAAATCAGCTGTTAGAATCCGAGTATGCTAGTATGAAGCACCAGCATAGTATAGCATGAGCATAGCCAGTATAAGGCAGACTTAGCATAGCCAGCATAGGCCAGTATGAGCGTCCCAGCATAGGGAGGATAGCATAGTCCCGAGTTAGGGCAGCATAGCCCAAGGAGCGGAATGTAGGCTCCTTAAGTAGCTGGCTTATCGCCAAGCGCACTTTGATTGTGCTTAATCACACTCGCGTTCTAAGGGCGATATTCGCCGCTTTATCATGGTAGCAGGTGCACTATGCGCAGCATGCAGTCTGGCAGAGAAGCAAAAAGGAAAGTATCGAAAGAAAAGCAAAAGACAAAGGAGCAAGCATCCGTATGAATACATTCATACTGACCTCATGGAGGCAGCAACAGAATCAGCAGCGAAGCTCGGCACCAGACCGCCTCCTGCTCTCCGAGCTGCAAACCGCGAGATCGCGATCGCGAAACCAATTCTTTACTTTAACTAGGACTACTGCGACTTTTTTTTACTATGGGAGGCGGCCGAGAACTAAACTCGGTTGCTTTGCTAGAACTTCCATTTACCGTCGACATGTCCGAGGCGTCGCGCGCGAACGCGTTCCAGATGTTTGGTGGAAATCGATTCATTTATGCATCGGGCAGACAGCCCGGGTGTATGATAGAGCAGCCAAAAGGCGTCACGAGTTTAAATTTGTTGAGAGAAGCAGCGTTGCGTATGGATTTGGTCGCAGATCAGGCATCTTCGCACCCAATCCTAGGGGAGGTAACTCCTCCCGTGTCTCGACCGCGGCTGATCGTCTCACTCCGAGTGCGTAAAGATTCGAAGTGCATCTTGGACGGCGCGGTTATTGGCCAGGTGAGGCAACGGGGGCACTTCTGGGATGCAATGGCCGACTACCACACGTCCGAGCTAGTGCGACGGGAGTCAGTGCCGCTGCAGTATGCTAGGACTACTCGAGGCGATGAGCTTAGCGGTCCGAACGGCGCCTACAAGTGCCATGCTTGGACAGAGCCGAGGTCGGTGAAAAGAACGGGAGGCTGAATACCTGGTTCGCTCGCCGTATAGGAGACGCTAAGGCAACCTAGAGCGGCCACCATCATGTTGGCGGTCCGGTTCTGATATTTCTCGGAACGGATATTCCCGGTCTCGGCCGAAAGGTATTTTCGTGCTTTATTTGACCAGGTGTGTGATCTAAATTTCACGGCTTGGGATGATCAAGTTCTGCGCACAAAATTTGCCCAGACGCACACAACATGCTGTTCATGTATGGCTAAGACAAGGTTGTTGTGGTAATAGCGGGGCCTCTAGTTACCAACATAAAAAAAACCTTTTCCGGCCCGTTACGGCGGCCAATATCACCGGAGAAACTCCTGCATCGTTTCTCCTGACTCCCTGTGAAGCCCTGCTGCGGGACGGGGAAGGTTACGCCTAATGGGGCTCTAGGTTCCACTTTACTGAAAAACCTTTACCGGTCCAGGGGCAGGTTTTTCGGGTTTTACTTTACCGGTGATTCGCCGCCGGCGAGTTTACTGCCGGGCCGGTTTTTCGGCGGCCGAGAGGCCCTTCAACTTGAAGTTCAAGCCGTGGCGTCCCGCGTACTACGCGGCGCGCGTGACGCGCGGAAACGACCGAAATAAACGCTGCTTCATCGGCGCGGGTATTGCGGCGCGTTGCGATTCCTCCTGCGAGGACGGCGCTGGTTGTGTTAGGGGCTCGGCAGCCAGTTTATCGTGGTTTACTTCAAGTTGAGGTGCAACTTTACTTCAATTTACCACGGAAACTCGCCATTTCCCGCAACTAGCGGCGCCGGAAAATCGAGTTGCGGTAGACGAGAAACCTGCGACGCCTCCGGAAAAGCAAGTAAACCTGCACCTGCCGGCGAATTACGGCAGTAAAGTGGAACCTAGATGGGGCTGCCCTGCCGCCCGAGGGTGAACTATCGAGGTTACGCAATGGCGGTACACCGGCGTCTCTGTTATCTGTTAGAATCCGAGTATGCTAGTATGAAGCACCAGCATAGTATAGCATGAGCATAGCCAGTATAAGGCAGACTTAGCATAGCCAGCATAGGCCAGTATGAGCGTCCCAGCATAGGGAGGATAGCATAGTCCCGAGTTAGGGTAGCATAGCCCTAGGATTGGTTTTCGACCCTCGTCGCCAAAAATACGAATTTCGATGACGCGAAACTCGTCGTCCCGGCGGCCGATTTGGATAGTTGGACGTTCCAGGCCCGGGACGAAGGTCCGGACGAGGGAACTAAACAGCAAAACCGAAGCGAAATCGGCCTCGATGGCGTCCAGAGGCGTCGGAAAGTCGACCCCCGGCGAGGGTCGAAAACCAAAGCAACCCTTCATAAGCACCCAAAAACGTGAACGCCTGCTCGCGGCGCATGACAAACAATGAATTTGGAGGGATGCATCGAAAAGTTGATGGAATGCCGACCTCTCACGGAAACCGAAGTGCGACAGCTCTGTGACAACGCTCGAGACGCGCGTTGCTGTGTCGGCAATAGCCCATTTAGCAGCAAATTTATAAGGATCCAAATCACAGGCGCTGAAGCGCGATGCGAATGTACGGCGCGTAAAGTCACCAGTTACGATCGTGGGAGATATCCATGGCCAATTTCATGATCTTCTGGAGCTTTTTCGGATTGGCGGACACGCTCCCGATACTAATTACCTATTCATGGGTCCAGCTTTCAGTGTTACTTACGCATACGCGAGTTTTTGAATTGCACATCGCAGGTGACTACGTTGACCGTGGCTACTATAGTGTTGAATGTGTTACGGCATGACCCGTGTCCCGCACTTCTCCTATCACGTGATAGAGTGTGTGTAGCTGGTCGTGGCACTCAAAGTACGTTATCCTGAGCGCGTGACTATCCTCCGCGGAAACCATGAATCACGGCAAATAACCCAAGTTTATGGCTTCTATGACGAATGCGTTCGCAAGTATGGCAACGCTAGCGTAAGCCCCGTACATATATGAGCTGATTAATAGTGGATCTTAGGTGTGGAAATTGTTCACAGACCTCTTTGATCATCTTCCGCTTGCGGCCATGGTGGATGAGCGTCTGTTTTGCCCACATGGTGGCTTGTCACCTAGCTTGGATACAGTGGATCAGATTCTGGCTTTGGACCGCGCCCACGAAGTTCCACATGAAGGTCCTATCTGTGATCTCATGTGGAGTGACCCTGATGACCGTCTCGGTTGGGGCATCTCACCGCGTGGCGCTGGCTACACGTTCGGTCATGACATATCCGAGAAATTCAATCGTGAAAATGGTTTCGATTTCATCGTCCGTGCTCATCAGCTTGTCATGGAGGGCTACAGTTGGTTTCACAATGAGCGCCTTGTGACCGTGTTTTCGGCTCCTAACTACTGCTATCGATGCGGCAACATGGCCGCTATCATGGAAGTTGACGAACATCTTGCATCCAACTTTATTCAGCATGCTGCATCAGTGTCCTACGATTCACCAATCTTTTTGTTGCAAGCATTTTGGAGACCTAGGTTTGACCCGGCACCTCGCCGTGGCGGTGATGGGGGCCTTGGCATCGAAGTTTCGCAGCAGACCCCAGACTACTTTCTGTGAGGAGCCCTGTCCCCAAAGCTCCGTCTGCTATGGTGCGCTTGTGGTGCGCTGCCAGCCGCAGACGCCGTGATAGCCACAGGCCCCATCTGAGCACACCAGGCCTGGACAAGGGAAACTCCGGGGCGCCGTCGCGACTTGGCTGCTTAAGGAAAACCTCTCTATAATCATGACTAATGTGTAACTAATGTGCCCCTACTATGTCGATCTTACTACTATTCAGTGCCGGAAACAACGTACATCTAGACACGCCCGTACGAAATAAGAAAAGAATATTTATTAATTAAATCCGGCCAGCGGCCGGAGGGACGTGTACTACACCTCCTGAAAATTTGCCGCGCGCGCGCGCGCGCGGGTCTTGCGTGTCGCCCTTGGCCTCGGCTCGCGTCCTCGGGCCGCTGTGCGCCGCGCGTGTGCTGTGCGCGACGATCTGCGGCGTTGCTGTTGAGGCGTTGCAGTAGCGGTTGTGGCGGTGGTCCGGCCCTTTAGCGCAACGCGATGGCAGCGCGACGCGACGGCGATGGCGACGACGTGCGGGAGGCGCGCGATGCGCTGTTGGAGTTGGGTCGAGGGCCGGTTAGAGGTGTTGTTGCTGTCGAGGGGCATGAGCCAGAGCACAGCGGGTGGCACATGATGGGTCCTGTTGCGCTCTCGGACGAAGAAATCGGTCGCATGGAAGGCCGTGGGCAGATACAATAGTAGCGTGATAGTAGTAGAATAGTAGTAGAGTAGCGTACTGTACCGCATCCGCGTATCCTCATACAAAAGATACAAGTGAGCAACTAAGCTGGCATATATCCACTGCACTGTGAACCTCAAGCTAATAAGAGAAGTATACCTTGAAGGGACAATTCCCGCTACAATCCAAACAAGAGGTAGCACACTGAGCTTCCCCTCTCACCCACTGTGCTTATCCTGCTACTACGGACTGTACCTTAACGTCAGGTTGATGTGCGGGACTTAGATTCTTTACAGGCTAGTGGGAGATACGAAAGGCCAAGTGGACTGTACCCCCGTAAATGCAATTCAGCTGCAAGTATCATGGCAGCCCGAAGAACCTAACGCAAGAACCTAACGCACTTGCCATGTTCGTCGTAGCTCATACCACATCGGAGTCGACATTTCCGGCCTTTCATTCGATCTCCGATAGCTTTGAGGCCGCGAGTCGGGTCTGTACTGCAAAGTGCAGCCAATACAAAAACAACTCTTGGTTCGTACTAAAAGCTACCGTGGCAAACGGCCGTATCATTGCATCGTCGGATCATACCGTGAAAAGGCACGGTCAACCTGGGTACTATTTGAATAACATAGCTACTAAAATGCCAACTTTGAACGTAGAGATCAACAAGGAGCGATGTATTTTGCATCATGATGCATACGAATGCCTCGGGAGTATGCCAATGTATCATGCGACTTGCGCAACATCTGCTTTCTTCTCGACTGTTAATCGCACGACAACCTCCGATGTACTCTCGACAGTGACAACCATACGCCCGTTCGGGATATTACGTAGTTCTTTGGTCGGAAAACCGAAAATCACTAAATGCATTCGAGATGCACCCCTCACAATTGCAAAATACACATCGCCTTTGTATGCTTTGTTGATCCATTTTCATCATTGAGGTCGACTCCCTTAGGCGTCCCTGCTCGAGGTTCGACATGAAATCTTGTATCAAGTTGAATTCAATATTTCTCGATGAACGCCTATCTTTTCTGCAGCTTATTCAGGAGCGGCGACAGAAGCGGAAGGCTCTGTACTTACATGCTGCTATCAAAATACAAGCCACCGCTCGAGGTCTTATGCTTCGTAGCGTTCTCGAAAGTACTATCCTAGACGCCAAAAAACGCAAGCGCGCCAGATCCGAATTGCAGTCGTCATTGGCATGCCTAACAGAATGGGCGCTCATGCGCCGACATTTAAATCAGTATAGGGTCTCCGTCCGCAGCCGAAGTGCAAAGGCGATCCAGGATGCGCATCGCCGGCAAATGCGTGGCCAACAGATGCATAGGAAGCGTCGTGATGAAGCTGCGACGTCAATTCAGCGCAGATCTCGGCAGGGCATATCATACGAATACCGAGCACGGGCTAATGTAGAGACGATCATTGCTGCTGAGCTCATCCAGACGCTTTATCGGCGACACAGGACTGTTGCACGTGCTGTCTGGCGCTCTAGACGCCTCCAAGCCGTCGCAGCTCTTGTTATCCAGGCGGCCATGCAGCACTATCGTTTGCGAGCGTGTGGCCGCTCATAGATTATCTCGCAGGTGGCTGTCAATGTTTGTACCGATCAGGAGTTCTGTCGTTGCTCGAAACGCCCTTCCTTCTAGTTCCGGTTGGACAGCACAAGCATCCCAGGCGCTTGTTATCTCTACGCGTGCCCCCTTCGCATAGGCCCGACCGCTCAAACCGCCAGGGATTGATGAGCCTAAGAAATATCAGGTCTCATCAATATGCAGGTTGGATCAGGGCCAACTACAGGCGAGATTGTCATCAGCGCTGGTAGGGGTAGATTAGACGGATGTCCAACAAGGATTCTAGCGACATTTGTGAGGAAATCAATCAGTTAGCGCATGAGTGTCTCAAGAAAGGACCTTCAACGTCAAGGCCACCAATACAAAGTGCATTGTTACATGGTCTGATAGTGATTGTTACATGGTCTATGGACAGTTTTTAAAATGGATGATGAGGACAAGCGACTGGCTCCTGGCGCATGTGTAATCTCTAGCTTGCTGTCTGGTAGTAGGTGCTGATGCACCGCTGCCACCAATCCGAGTTTTGGACCGGACTGAAATTACTGCCCACTAACACGGGTCGTAACTTGAAGTAGATTTGCTCGATTGTTGATGTGTCACAGTGAGACGAATGGCGTTCACCCTGGGTAACATGGCCTTGTTGTTCGCCGTCTCCAGGCCGGCTATGGCGCGCGAGGCGTCGCCGCTGCCGCAGTACGGGAACCTGAAGGCATGCCAATACCGTGGCGCCTCCGCTGGCCTGCCTAAACCGGGTCGCGGCGCTCCGCGCCGTGACGCGTCTTGACGCCCCGAGCCCTCCAAAAAGGTTTGCTGCCCCGGCAAGCCCTCAGAATACCCATCTTGTGCGGCGTGCCGCCGCTTCGCGGCAGCCGATTTCCCCCCCTTCCGTCCCCCGTATCGTGCACAAGCCGCTAGGCCGATGGTTAACTTCAACTTGTACAGAAGATCCAAGATGATTTTCCCTCCGCGTGTAACTGGCTCATGCGCGTCGCCGTGCCGTTTGCGCGCAGTACTTGGCAATGATGCACAAATTAGGCAAGGACGGAATGGACGAGGACGGGACAGAGTTCAACTCAAATAACCTTCGCGAACGTGATAATGCTCCCACGAGCATCGAAACTAGAGAGTCAGAGCCCGTCCTCCTTCTGGGTGCCCACGGCAATCAATGGAATAGGCAAGATCGCTTTCTACCCGTTGCCAATATCGCTCGGATCATGAAACGTGTGCTGCCACCTAATGAAAAAATTGCCAAAGACGCCAAGGAGGCCGTACAGGAATGTGTTTCTGAGTTTATCTGTTTCGTGACGCGATGAGCTGCGAATTGCGCGCGTGCGTAGTTTATACGTAAAGGGCCCGTGCAGGTCAGAGGCGTCCGACCGTTGCCAAACTGAAAAGCGGAAGACCATAAACGGTGACTTCTTTGTTTGGCCAAACAACAGCAGGCTAGCTTATAATTTAGGTGATGATCTGGTTTGGGCCATGGGCACCCTAGGCTTTGATGACTATGTAAACCCTCTGAAAACGTATCTCACAAAGTATCGCCAGGCTGCCAAAGCTGACAAGTCAGAGAGAGTCGGTCGAGGTCGCGCAGGCGACCTAGAGGGAAATGATGCAGTAAGGACTTACGCCATACAGCATAAATATATTCTGATCTTCCAGGGAGAACATCAGGATGGAGCGCGATACCAGACCCCAGCGGGAGAAATGCCGCAAGATGAAGACCATATATTGGAACGTCAGCTTGCCGATTTTATTCACAACGATGATCGCATTTTATGATGCGAGTACTCGTTAGTCGCCCAGCGGTATCTCCGTGTCTGAATGTGCACTTCGCTCAGCTCACATCGAACGCCAGAGTTAAATCAAGCTGTCCGCTTTTCCGGCAGGAGGGGTATTTTGAAAATCAATCAAATATTCAAATGTAAGCACCGGAACTGCGTGTCCCAGATATACTCGCAACGGCCGAGGAGCAGCGTGTCGACCCGGGGGATTCGGCTCAGGCGCGACGCCCAGCCCTGGCTGTTATGCCGAACAGGGATGTTGGCTCCAGAACTACCGCCGTGCGGTGGGCCATTGCATTCCCCTCCTATCTCCGACACCGCTCGCCCCACTCTGGTAAGAACGGCGCTCGCCCCCCCTTGTGGCGTCGCAGGGGCAGCCGCCAGCCTGAGGCATAGGACACCGCTCGCCCCCCCGCTGTTCGGCTCCCTTGGATTCTCGAGACATCCTCGGCTCTTCTGCCCGCTGCTGTAGCTCTGACCATCCCCTTGACATGATTTCCCCCGAATGTCCAGTGTAAGGGCACTGTGACCCATTCTGAGCCTATTCTGGCCGGGGCGATTTAGTGGGGAGCCATAAACCGGCGCATTCGCCGTGGGGCGCCGCCCTACGCAGATCCCCTAATTTCCGCGTCCCCACTAAACCCGGCACGGGTCGTAACTTGAAGTAGATTTGCTCGATTGTTGACGCTCGGCCGTGACATCATTTAGTTGCGACCTCGGTTTCCGACTCGGGCATCCGATGCAGCGGTTCTAGGACTTGGCGCGGCGCTTGGTCTGTGGACCATGTCGAGCCTTGGGCCCGGCTGCGAGTCGCTCGGGAAAGACCATCGGTCGAAGGCGAGCAACTTAGTTCGCGTCGGGGCAGCCCGTGGATGACGAGAACGGCCGTTAACGGTGGGGGGCGACCGACGAGGGGCCCAACTTAGTTCCAGGGGTCGAGCCGGCCGCCCGACTTCGAGCAACCCCCCCCCCCTGTATTGTCCCTCCCGAGTGGTCTGTCAAGGACCGGGCGGCCCGAACGCCGCATGCATTGCACGGTGAGCACCGTGTCACCCGCAGCGCCGCGCGCCTCCCGGAGCCGGTGAGGTGATCTCGATCAAATCGGCTCGAGCCGAAGAGCTGCCGCGAGGGCATCTGATCGCCCTCGTGATGAACGATTCCCGACGCTCTGTGACTCGAAGACGACCGAAAATCGGGTCGGGGGAAGCTGCCGCGCCCCATTCCACCCCCTGAGGCTGCCCGTTTGCGTCGCCTCGCAATCGTCCGGATGTCGCGTCTTTTCATGTGCCTGACCCGCATGTTTGCGGACCTCAAAGCCACTGCGATCGTTGCACGTCGCTGCATATTTGAGGAGCACGGGGCCCTCTAAGGTGGAGATCCCACCATCGGCCGCTGAAATACTCGTGCTAGTCCTCTAGACGCTAGGATTTCTTCAAAGTTTGTGTTTCATTCCGGACCAGGGTATCCACTTCAAGTTACGACCTGTGGGGAAGTCGCTCCAGCGCGTGCTCCAGCGACGCCTCCCAAAACCAGGCGCTAGCGGAGGCGGCGCGGAGCCCGCAGAGCGCCCGGGTTTAGTGACCCCCCCTATTCGAAAGTACCAAGGGAGGGAACTTGAAGGGACCCCAAGGCGGCCCTGTACCAGCGAGCGGCCAGGTAAGTAGGGCTCTCTCTACCTCTCCAAGGCCACCGGGGGGGGGTGGCGGGGGGGGGTCCTCATATCTTTTGTAGGCTGGAATTGATGGTGATGACCAAGACACCCCTGTTAGCCAGTCGGTGCAATGTGAGGAACTGAAGACGCTTAAAGGGGGT